AAAGGCAATTTTATTTCGTAAAGTGAAACTCAATGTGCAAAAAAGTGTCACGCTCCCATAGTATAGGATATACCTTATATTCAGTGCAGGTCGATTGAATACGCACGACACATTTTTCATGCACGTTAATATGTGACATACTACTATCACATATAAATGCATATATTCAAAGCTCGACGCTATGTGTTTCATTTTGCCAAAGCTTCTTCAAAGGGTGTCTTGACACGTTGTCCAAGTCATGGTAGCATTGAAAACAATAAACCAAGTATCTCTTGTACGATGGCAAGCGCGAATTTCTTGTAAAAAGTCACGTAGTGCTAAGATTACCATAAAAAATAATTATTCAAAGTTTATAAATAACCATGATTAATAAAATGCATGATAATAATAGCCGATCATGTCGTTAAAATAAAATTATATCCTCTTAATAAAATGAAGCTGCAATGAGCAAGAAAGCGTTTGTTCTCGCGTAAAAATCGATTTTTCAAGTTCAAAGATAAGAAGGTCAGAATCAAAGACTCGCAAAAGAGAAGATCTACTTTCATTGCAGGAACTTCAATATAGACACGTCAAAAATGATACCCAACGTGGATTTCATTTGAAATTGATTCCGGATTCCATGAAGTTCATCGACGACATTCTCATAATTCACCAGAGAAAAAGAGATAATCTTTTGCCTGCGCGATAAAAGCAGAGCAAAGCAGTTGGGACGTATGATTCGATTACACCGACCATTTACCGAGAATTTGCCAATGCTAAAAGATAACAATTTCAGCCCTCTTCGATATGTTTTTCATCGAGCACGAGCAGAGGTACGGCAACATTTATGTGAGCTTTACATGAAATTGTCATATTCTTTAAAATAAAACATTACAAATCCGTATTTCTAATCTACGGGCTTTGAAATATTTATATCCACATGGCCTGCTCGTGCATGGGGAAAAGCTGTAGCATGTCTATAGAGTACATGATTAAATAGATTTTTTTGTTCGCGGAACTTTTTATATTGAGCGTCGAGTGATATGTATTTAAATACTCGCTATTTAAATATGCAAGTGCTCGTACTTATTAGTAACCCGGGCAGCGTGTTTAATAATAAGTGTGTATGGATATCTGCCACTGATTATACGCGAAAATATCTTACTTGTTATTAATGACAGAAGACTTCTAGGAAAACCTTTATCTATATTAACTGGTTATTCCAAACGTTTATATATATACACTCCCATATTATATGTACATCGAAGGTGGAGTGTACGCAAAAACAGTGAAGAATTTTTTACACGCGCGTGGCCCTGTCTACTAACAAATATTACTGCATGTTATCTTCGAAGAAAGAATGATAACCTTTAATAGAGACATTAAAGTACACAAATTGTGATTGATTCCAAAAATTTTTAACTTTTATTCGATGGCAAACCTTATTTGTCAAGAATTTCATGGAAAAAATTTAAAATAAATCATGATGGTGATTAGAAAAATACAAAGATGACTTGATGAATTTAGTTGTAATTTTGTAATGACAAGATAAGTAATAATTTAAAAATGAAGTGTACTCATAAAACGTAATATTTAAGAAGAATTAGACTTTCATTATGAATTGTGAAATTAATGAAGTTATTATACAATTGAGTGAGTTTAGATTTCTTTTCTAAATACGTTGGATAAAACGTTATAAGCGAATAGAAACATTTGAACATTCGGTTTGTAGCATTCTGAACGATAAAAGGTTTATCAGGGACACACTATTTTAGATATTAATCCGCGGCGAGTTATCGAGGCCGTTCATACTTGAAAGAAGTAAGAAATATTTAGCCTTCCTAAAATTTATTAAAATATTCTTCCGAAAAGTCGTTTCGAACGAGAGCGTCTGTTTCGACGAAAAGGGCTGTAAAAGCTCTCGCAAAACACAGAGAGGAAGAGAGTCCGAAGAAAGCTTATGACCATGAATTTTGCGAAGACTGCATGTATGTACTACCTAATGTGAACGTGTGTATGAGTGTATGCTTTGTCTTGAATAGATAATACGTCTCGACTCACTCCGTCCATCCGCACTGTGTATACATCGTAAAAATATTACGAGCGCTGCGATTTCGATGATAATTTAATGCGATGCGACTTTTCAATCGATCGAGCGCTGTTATGTACATTTGAATTACTAAAAAGACGATTGCGCCTTCCTCATACTGTGTGCGTGCGAGCATCGAGAACTCCAAATGCCTTGAATTATCATTGAGTAATAAGTAAGCTTAATTGAGATGTTGACGAAGTTTGCGATGCTTGACAATGTTGATGAGAGAGAATTAAAGAAAAAAAACCATTGATTATTAGTTTCAATTTGATTTTCTGAGAAATACCGAGAGCTCGCAATTAATTACTTTAACGATTTCACATTCAAACTGTATCATTGAACCAATTATTGGTGTAATAATTATTCCTCGGCTACATGGAATACGATGCAGATATATTTGAGCAAAAAATATTAGGGGTTTGAAAAAATAAAGCTTGCATAAAAAACACGCATACCAAGTATCGAGCGAAGTATCGAGTATTCAACCCGTCTTTCAAAATAAAACTTGGGAGACGTTTCCTCGTCTCACCGTTGAATTCCAAAATCGAGAATCTTGTCTCTTTTTTTCTTTCTCTTTTTCTTACAGCAGTCAACGCGCGCGACGACCCGATCAAGACAATAGAACATAGCAGCAGCAGCAGCAGCTAAAAAGAAGACCAGTGACCGACGACGTATATATTTATATCCTGCTTCTATACACGTGCGCGTATACATATACATATAATACGTACGTCAAAAGACCTTGGCTTTCCAGCTTTTATAAATGGGACGATTTCGATCGATCTGTATAGGCGTCTAGGAGTATTGTAGTACAGTGCAAAATAAAAGAAGAAAAAACTGCTTGAGCTTGACAATTCGCGGAAATATATTTCGATCAACTCGTTTATTCGTACACTCTGTATAAACACTCGATTTTTGTCTCGTTCAGTTACATAGATAAGGTAAAAAATGTCACTTTATCAGTGATGAAGATAATCGTTCGATGTATGTACGTCGATGCGATTCGCCAAAATAATAATTCAAAAGGTTCGCGCCGTGATGGCTTTTAAAGAGACGTGCTTTTAATGTATCTTCGAGGAAAAGGAATTGGCTTCTGACATTTTTGTAGCGCTTTGCATTCGTATGATACATATGTGTATATGTGTGCCAGCAACTCTCATAAGTGCATTTCCACGTAGCAGGTACCAAGCACGCGCGTGCACTAAACTAAAGCGAAAAAAAAGAACGTCGCTTGTGAGCGATAGCTTCTTAGGTATTATATACACCCGCGCGCTCGAGCGACACGAAAGTTTATGCGTGTATTCTGAGTTTAGTGTGTGACTTTGATTTTTTCGTTTGGGGTAAAGGTCGTTCTCCATTTTTTTTCTTTCTTTCTCTTTACTTTTTCTTTTTCGGCCTTCGAGCTTTCCAGTTCGTAAATAAACGATACGAGGCGCTCGAGCTAGCGGTAGTATATGCGTTTTCCGATTGGCAATCTTTTGCCATAGAGTATATTTTTAAACGAGCGCTTTTGATCGATCGAGAGCTCGATATGCAGTTCACAATGAAACTCGGCTGCACCGTAAGCCGCGAGCTCAAATCCCATGACCATTTCTCCGCTGATGCAGACAATTAGTTATATCTGTCGCACTATATGCGCTTTACCGTTAAAGCTGTATAATGGCGCAGCTGCACGCGTCGGGCCCTTCGAGGCACTCGGAACAGCGTCATTTTTCCCTGTCGTCCTTGTGCTGCTGCATCGGACAATGTGTATATTATAATGCAGCACGTCTCGCGAGCGAAGAGAAAAGAAAACGAACGAGCGAACACGAGCGTGACCGTCCCGGGAGAGCGGGAGAAACGTCATCAGCTGCGCCGATACTTCTGTCAGAGTCTGAATCTGTATGTGCACCAAGTTCAAAGCGCACTTTGTTCATCATTCATTATCTTTTGGACGCGATTCGCTCGAACAAAAAAGTCAAGAGACTCGGCGTGGATGAGTATGCAACATGCATCATTTTTTCAATAATATATGGAAGGTGCCGATGTATGTCGTCCTTCTCGGCACCGTTACAATATAAACAATTTTGAATCCTAAGCTCATCGATTCTCGGATCACTTGGAATCGCTCGTTAAATAATACTGTCAATAAGTATAAATTAAAAAAGGTATCGCTTTGAACAATAATTCAATTCAACCCTTCATATGCATACGTATTTTTTTTGCTTGAGCAGCAAGCGATGCACATTTACACATGTATTGGCGTTCGGTTTATTTACCAATTTATCGTATTCCGAGTACCTATGTACCGCATTTTCTCTCTTTCTCTCTCGGCACACATACACACACACACTTATACCTAGTACATGCTTTAAGTACATACTATAGTCGCACTTAATACGCACAGTCGGAAACAAATTCAAGTTAAGTATACACAAATGTAAATGTGTGTATACGTAAGTACGTTCATGTACTGAATGTAGAACGTTGATCGTGCATCTGTAATAATCGTACGCATATACAAATAGTAAACCCCATTGTATAATTTTTCTTGTTTCCGCGAATCGGATGAAATTTCGCAAAGGAATCTGCGCAAAGTAATGTACAATCGCGTTGAATAGAATTTTTTTCCTCCTCGTACGGCACAAGGAGGCGCAACGGAAAATCGAACGATACGATGAATTATCGATGAGAAATTGCAGCGTGGATTGATTGCACGGAGCGCGCAGCATAACTTGACTGCGCTTCGTGCACGGTAATCGTACATATATAAAAGTGTCTCTCCATCTGCACACATAGCAGTACGTGCGAAAACCTAACCTCCGTAAGAAGCAACTTTCGCAATATGCATCTCTCTTCCAAGTATACCAATGTACACGCACGAGCGAGCAAATGTATACCTATATAATGCAGCAACAGGCAGAGAGTTGAAGTTTCGCCAATTACTAACCTCGTTGTTATTTTCCTTCGAGTCAGCCAGTTTGACTATTGCAATGGTCCTTTTGGAGTGACTCGATCAGTACGATAATGAAAATTATCTGCGATGCACAATTATCGATGCACTGGACTTGTTTGCACTTTTTTACTCGAGCTTGCGTTTAAGCACTGGACTCGCGGTCGTTTCTCGAATCTCGAACGTTGAGCGTTACACGACGCGCGAATAAATATATATATGTGGGCGTTCTAATCGTACGTTAAAAAGCAAAAAAGAAAAGGAGCAACGAAATGGCTCGATTGGATTTTTGTAGCGAGCCAGTTTACAAAGAGACTCGACGCGTTGAATGCGCTTGTTGCATCGCTCAGTATAGGTACACACACATATATATATATGCACAGACGAAAGGTTTATTCACTGCACAGAGCACTCGAGAGTAGATTCGCAGGCCGAAGGAAAGCCGAGAGAAAAGATGAAGGGTCTCAAGGAGCACGAGGAGAGAGGAGAAAGAAGCAACTAGAGCAAAGAAGGCACACAAGAGCTATCTGTGCAGCTGTTTGGAAGCGCACACAATGCAGTTGGCGCACACGTACATACATGCACACAAGGTGTAATATGCAGGCCTGCAGCTTTTTCTCTCTCTCTCTCTCTCTCTATCGTGGAGAGTGCAGAGCAACGCGAGCGAGCGCCAAGCGTCGACGACGATGAAACATGGCAAACGATAATAACAACAATAATAGCCACTGGCGCAGCGACGACTGCAGTAGCTCGGGTATACATATATATGACATGTATAGTGCTGCACGACTTTGGCGCTGCTATTATTATTGCAGCGAGAGACAGTAGGTGGCGGTGGTGCACAAGAGAGAGAATCTCGTTTCCCCGTAGAGCGCGCGTGCCCGCGAATATTCGAAATCTTCATTCTGGGAAAGACGATAAATCGTCCCGCATGTGCGCCCGCCTCCGAGTCTATAGTACGCTCCCTGTACGAGACTCGAATGAGAGACAGTCTTTATTGCAAATATAAATGTCAACTTCGGAGAAAATATATCATCTCGCGTGTACTCCTGCCTATACATGTGTGCATGTCTCTATGTATCTGTATTATGTGTAATGTATATCGGTTTTATTATGATGCACGCGGGCTATATCGAGTTGCAGTTTAGGTTTTAGAAAAAAAATAGCGACGAATAAAAACGCGTCGAAATTATCGATTGCCTCGTGATATTCGCCGGACGCGAGGTTCCGGGAATGTTTTCAGTGGCTTTGTTTATTTATTTGTCCCTCTAAAGCTAAGCATAACGAAGACGAGCGGATCCATATATGTACGCTTCATTATGAAAGAGGTGGTGAATATTTTAGCCGCGATATTATTAATATGTATAGCTGGCTACATGTGTATCGCTCGCTCGAGTCGCCGGCCTGATCAATTTATAAATACAATATAGCGGGGCCGGCTCTGCTCTCTCTTTCTCACCTGTGGGACATGTGCACACAAGGTAAATATCCGCGGCCAACGCTCGCTGCCGCATGTACGATGTGTTCCGGGGAAAAACGCCCGCTACGATGAATAGGCTGGTGCGAGAGTTTACCTATACACGCTCGGCGTGCGCTATATAGCCCACGCACAGACACAGTACACACAGACGTATCGAACGAGGAAAGGCGGCTCGAGGCTAAACGTTACCGAGAACGCGCCGCGTGTTCGCCTCTCGAGCTTTCAACGCTAATTTTTCCTTCGTGTCTGCAGCGAGTCTTATTTAGTCTCGTTATACACGTACGCGCGTTCGAGTGCAGTTGCGCATCGTCATCTCCTTGGACGCGAATACATAATATATGCCAACTCGATTTTCCTATCTCGATTAAACTGTCAATCTCTTTCTCTTTGCATGTGAAGCGACGCGGCGAAAAAATTTCAAAAAGATAATGCCTTCGTGTGCGCGAGAGCGATGCATTTTTCATGCTCGTCGGCGGTTGTTACAAGTGCGCAGCTTGTAATTATATCACAAGCTCGTCTATATTACAAAGCTTTTCCTCGAATTTCTCCGCACGTATACGTCCGCGGCCGTACACGCCGCTATTATTGTACACATTTACCGCGAGCTAGATGCTGCTTAGTGACTTTGCTTAATTGATCGGATTAATTTTTCATGTATCAGTTTGATGCGACACGCGGACCCACGTATTTTCTGCTATATCTACACGACGTTATTACATTTTTCAAAGCGACGCGAGTGAACCTAATTATTACGAAAAAAGAAGAAGAAGTAAAAGAAATATTAGCTCATAAAAATTTCACGTTACGCGCGCGCGCGCTATGTTTTCTATTATTATTCGCGTTCATTCGCAGACCATCGCTCGCGCCACTCACGGAGATTTAAATATTTCATTTCAGGCGACGTCGGTGACGTTCCATTTTCTCCGTAAACCAATATACAATATAAATAGGTATAACAATGTATTATAGGCAAAGCTCGCGTCAGCGAATTTCTGAGAAATGTAAAAAGGGTCGTCTCGAAATGATAATACTTTTTTCTCTGCGGCAGCAGCTAGCGACGGAGCTGGGGTGGATTACAATGCAGTCGCAGTATGCGCAGAGTAGTTTGACGTACGGCGGCATGAGTCGAATCGTGTCCCAATCGCATAATGAGCGTCTCCTTTTTTTTTTCATGCTCAAAAGCTTCGGCTAATAGCGGCGGCGGATCTTTTTGACTCTCGTCGGCGATGGAAATGAGAATATCGCGACACCCGCTTGCACGCGGCGCGGCGTACATAGACAGGTATACACGTATAAAGTCGACTGTGTGGCGTCGTCGTCGTCGTCGACGTCTATAATTTGCAAAACCGCGAGAGCGAAAAGCCTCTTTCTCTCTGCGTACGGCTCTCTCGTTTCCGCATCACGCGACGACAAAAGTGTCCTTTGGACTTTGATGCAGTGGCGCGCGACACGACTCGAAGCTGCTGCACACACCTCGCTCTATGTATACGTTTGCGTATACACTGTGTTTATCGTAGGTACATGGTGCGATCGAAATAGACCGCGAATCGAGCGTTCATTATAGAAAGTCCCCTGCGGGTAATGAAGCAATCCGATCCGGGCGCGGAACATAATTCATCCTCGGAATCGAATTTCTCGACTCGGTGAACCCACGACGTGCGATTTTATTCCGCGTCGAACCCTTTACATCATCATCATCATCATCTTCGTCATCGTCGTCTTTGTAGCAGCACACACACACACACCTCATATACATGTGCACAAGATGGTAATTTGTCGCTCAGGGTTGCACCGACCATAAGTATATAGATCGAGCATAATCTGGTCGCTGGCGCGCGAATGAGACGCCCGAGACAACGAGTTGCATTGCGACGGCGGCTCGAGCTCGAAATTCGCGGAAAGCACCAACGCCGAGTAATTCTCGGAATAAAGGTCGGCTGCACATACACCGCCAGCTTATATGCGATACTCCATGAGCTCGTGTGTGTATGTGTGTGCAGTAAAATTGCATCTCATCTCTTGAGTCTCTTCCTCCTCCTCCTCCTTCTCTTCTTTGCTCAATACACTTTGTCTCTCTCTCTCTCTCTTTCTCTCTCTCTCTTGCCCTCGCATGTTTCTTTCGTTCGTATACACACAACATGGTAATATGGCTATGGGCTCATTGCTCGCCAGTTAAATAACGTTGCAATAGCCATAATGGGCCACGCCTCATAGGTGCATTATAGGCTCACATGCTCGGACCTCATGCCGATACGTACCGCGCGAGTCTTAATCGTACGACAGTCTTTCGCAGACATTAAAAAATTAAAAGTGGGCATTGTAATAATCGAGCTAGCATCCAATGAAGGCTAGGAATATAATAACGATATCCTCATCGGGCAACTTCTGATTAATAATGTTAAAAACGTATCGATGAGTTACACAAGAAAGGGGATCAATGTTTCATTGAATACAAAATTCTTATGGTAACAAATTGTATGTAAAAGTTTATGATTACAAACAAGCAGTTGGGGCACTTGAAAATCCTCTAGACATTATTTGGCCACAAGCTGCTAGTTCGTATTTTCTCCGCTTGAACCTTTTCCGTACATTTGTTTCCAATCAAAGAAAACTGGGCACACGAGCACAATGAAAGTATAGGTAAGCATCTGCCCTACGGACTTTGGTAACGTATGTGTATAGGAGAAAGCGAGAGCAGCATCTCCCATTGCAGGGGTTGGGCCGTCGTTGCGCTTCTCGGTACTGCAGCTGCGCCAGACACACATCGCATTTTCGCGCATGCACGCTGGCTCCCCTACACGTGCACGCACACATACGCGCGCGGATATCGTTTTATATCGTACGCGTAACTCACACGGTACCTATTTACAGTATCCCGGCAGTCAGTCAGTCAGGCTACGGTCTGCGGCGGATCGCAACCGGGCGAGTGGCTTTTCGCCGAATCGTCTGCAGTTACAAAATGACAAAGACGACGATGTTACAAGGGTCATGTGCTGCTGGTGACTTGGACTAACATCGCTAGGAGAACGAGTTTTGAATTATTACGGCCCCCTCCGCAGCGAGTCACCATTGTAATTTTGATTACTCTTGATTGCAAGGTGCAAACTCGCTCACAAACGCACTGTCGAAATGATAGTTTGACTTTTTCCTTTTCTTATTATTTCGTAAACCCACGAGTGAGCAAGAACAAATTTGAATCCACCAATCGTAACGTATAGATTAATTGAATGAAATGATGATGCCAAAAATTAATGTACTTTACATTAGCAATAGTATCTTTTATACAAGCCAACATTTTCACTCCAAGTATCATCAACTCCGTTCAGTAATAGATACTTCGATGGACCGGAGATATTGTCAGAAAATTATTGCGAGCCTATCGATACGTTCGTATAGTTTATATCGATTCGAAAAATAAAGAAGAGCAGCTTGTCTTTATACATATACAGGGAAAAACATAGTTTTACTGCTCGCGCGTCCATTTGTATACAAATATCTTGGTGAAAAATTGATCGAGCAAATATTGAATGACGTCTTGGCTCGTCATCTTATGTACTCTATCAGTACGCGGGGCCAAAATAAAACGACATAGCTCGAGACTGACGGTTCGGGGCAGTGTTACGTAGGCGCGTGCAGATCACCGCCTCGAAACTCAACATTTCTCCGAAGAATGTGCTATACTTACGACGCGTACTATATATTTAGGTACAGCACATGAGCGCTAAAAACAGTCAAACATTTTTTTCCTCTTTTCCTTTCTCTCTATCTCTCTATCTCTCTATCTCTTTTTCGATTTTTCAATACGTCAAACGCGGGTTAAATATTAGTGTCACATTTATATGCGGGTCAAACATGAGAGAGGAAAGAAGATGTACACGCGTCACTTTTTTGCATCGTATACTTACCTCAGCGTACCACGCATCTATATGAAGTGAAAAAAAGGAAAAAATAATTGAACAAAGAGAGAGAGAGAGAATAACAAAACGAATAAGAATAAGCGCGCAAACGAATTGATGAAAAAGATAAAAAGATGCCGGTGCAGACTGATATTCGGTCACATTGATTAATTTACGGTGCCGCTTGTTCGTTGGCATGCGTCCGTTGCAACGCGCCAAAGTGTATTACCATGAATTGCATATTAGTCCTTATTCGTTGTAGC